TATGTGTAGGGCTACAGTCCCAATGTGGAGGTCATGAGTTCAAATCCCGCTCACGACCCTTTCCCAAATGTTCTTTTCCCTACTTTCCTTTCTCTCTCTCACGAACACGATCCAATAAAGGCACAAAGGCCAAAGAACTAACTTCGCACCCTTTTGGGTGCTCGGACCCTAATTAATGAAAATTATGACATTGCTTTTTAATTGTGGTTCACAGGAATATTTTTTAAAAACAAACAAACAAGCAAACAAGCACGATGGGACCCGTAAACAACCCTGTGAGCCAATCACTGCAGTCAAGTGTTTTCTGCAACTCTCAATCAGACTTCTGCACCTGTTGACAGGTATTCTGATTTTGGCCCACTGCTCATCAGCAAAGTGCTCTAATTTGTCTGGGACAGTTTTGGTGTTGTTTTTTAAAATTATTCTTTTCACCCACAGTTCAAAAGCAATATCACTAAATTATAATTTATCAAATTTTTATTTATCATTACCTTTTCCAGTTTCTAGTTATTTGAGTGATCATTGTGAATTTTTCCTTTTCTTTAATGGAAGGGTTTGAATACATTTGAGGACGACTGTAAATAAAAATAAAGAAGTGTCAGCACCTAAATGTCAAAGTAGGAACTTCTGATTGATATATTATTATAGATGGTTACCTAAATGGATCAGACAAGTCATAAAATCACCAGAAAATAGACATTAGAAGTCAGATAAAAGTACAAGTTGGTGCAAAAACATTAAAAACAACAAATACAAAGGAAAAAATAAAACCCATGTAAAGTCAAAAAAGGCTCTCCAGTAAGAGTATGTTTTAAAAAAGAGCCCTAAAAGAGGTCACACACTCTGCTGATCTGATTTCCTCGAGCGGATCATTCCAGAGCCTCGAGGCCTCGACTGTCCCCTTTAGTTTCCAGCCTGTCGTGGAAATTACACCAGCTCCCAAATATGTCGGCGGGGGGAAAAAGCCGGGGTCCCAACCTTGAATAAGAAAACAAACACACTGCCGGGTCAGTTTTATATCCTGTACAAAATGGAAAATAAGCCGACATTATGAGGAAGAGAGAGAAGAATAACGGCTTATTTATAACCTGACAGTGAAGGTAAACTGTTTTGCCGATGGTTCGTTCTAAATGAGTTTAACCTTTATCATGTGGTTTTTCATACCAGACAGAACAGATTCCTGAAGATGAGACGAAGGCATCTCCTAAGAAGGATTCTGTGGCTTTGGTTTTATAAGTTGGAGCCTCCTCAGGCTGGAACTTGACGCCTGACAGGACCTGAGATCTCTATTTCTGACTCTGGTTGTACAACATCTCATGTTGCTAGAAACAGCAGCCAGCTCCGAAAATGACCAAACACATGAGCAACTGGTCAGGTTTAGGAGATTAACAGATGATTGGCATGTAAATAAATGATAACTTAAGAGCTTAACGTTGATTTTACTAACACAAGCCGATGCACACGAAGAGATCAGAGACACAGCTGGACGTTTAGGAGTGATCAGGACTGTCTTAAAATCTATCGCAAAACGCACGTGAGCTGATGTAAAGGGGCTAACACAGGAGGGATGTGATTAATAGTGAGGCTTCAGTGTGTCGGCAGCATGTTGGTGTTGAAGCTGCTCCAGGTTTGAAGTAATTTCTACAGTTTTATACATCCAGGGACAGCAGATAAATCTGATTAATGGGAGAGAAAAGAAGGACAAATAAAGTCCTGGTACACAAATCTGCTTTCAGTTTTTCCTCTTTGATTTTTGGTGAGATGCTGAACATTTATTGACATGAAACCATGTGGCATGTTTGGAGGGTAAAATCAATATTTGGTGGAGCTTTTAATAACTTTTGCACATCTGAAATGTGCACCCAGACGACACGCTGCTTCTCACAACGAGCCAAAAAGGCTGGAAATCAATCTTAAACAATGTGTTGTACATTAAAAGCTTGTGTGGAAAACTTTTATTTTAAGAGAAACTACTGCTGTCAGGGGCTGCAAGGTGGCGCAGTTGCCTCGCAGCAAGAAGGTCGCCGGTTGGATCTTTCTGTGTGGAGTTTGCATGTTCTCCCTGTGCAGCGTGGGTTCTCCAGCTTCCTCCCACAGTCCAAAAACATGTTGAGGTTAATTGGTAATTCTAAATTGTCCGTAGGTGTGAATGTGAGTGTGCTTGGTTGTCTGTCTCTAAGTGTAGCCCTGTGATAGACTGGTGACCTGTCCAGGGTTAGACTCCAGCCCCCCACGACCCTCGTGAGGATTAAGCGGTGCATAGATAAAAGTAGTGGATTAAAAATTTACATTTTTTTCCTCTAAATCGTAGTGGAATAGAAGCATAAAGCAGAGTACAATGGAAATACTCAAGTGAAGTACATGTACCTCATATTTGAACTTAAATAAAAGTACTTAGTTACCTTCCACCACTGACATCTGAAATATCTTACAAACAAGGAACATTCACTAACATCCACTTTCATATAATTCTGTCTAATCACTTCTAATTCATCGTCTATTTTTAAACATAACGAATCCAGCTGCAACTTAATCATCTGAAAACACGCGAGTCAGCTGAAACTAGGAAAAGCAGGTCTTTAATGTCATAAGAACCATTCACACACTAAACCAAAGCTGCGTGCAGGATACAGAACAGAGAAGCCCGACTAAGGCACATATAGATAGAAGCTCTCAAAAACATCTGTCTAAATGAAAACATCTGACATGTACATATATATGTGTATATGTATACCTCAGACTGTCCAGTGTTAGACGCGGTTGATTCGACGACAGGGTTTCTGCTCTGTACTTCATTTAATACTGTCTGCAGTGCAGATTCACTAAAAAAAATCTAGGAGAAAATAAGAACACTGTGATAAAATGAAATGAAATGACAGCATCTAATGGCAGCAGACACATCTCACATTTTACCTCCGAGTAAAATGTAACGACAGAAAGATTTGTTATGCGTTAACTAGAGCTGCAACTAACAGACATCTTCATAGTCAGTGGTTTCCTTGATTAATCGATTAGTTTGGTCAGAAAATAATTTAAAAAATGTCCATCTGATGACCTCCTAAACGTCTTGTTTTGTCCACAACCCAAAGATTTTCAGCTTATTGTCATAATAGAGGAAAGAAAACACAAAATATTCCAGTTTAGGAAGCGGACATCAGAGTTTTTTCTTCTTAAAAACATACTCAAATTAGTTGTCGATAAATTTAATAGACGACTCATCGGTTAATCGTTGCAGCTCGTGTTAAACTGTATGTTCTCCAACGCTTTGTATGTACAGCATGTTTGTTTTCAAGTCTTTCAGTGTGACAGTCCTTTTTAGATTTAACTGCTGCAAACCCAACTATCTCAACATTGTTTATTACACTCTTGTTTTTCTTAGCAAAACAAGTGGGAATGCTGTGAAAAATGGAGAAAAAAAAATGACCAGACATTCAGGAAATCCAGAACAGATGATAAGGCTAATAGACTACAGACAGTCGTGTAAGTCTCAACCTGTGAACTACTCCAAAGAAAAGTGAAAAATGGATCCTTTCATCCACCCGCAATTAGTGACAGAGCATGTGTGACAAAAGAAGAAAAAAAAACATATACAAATCAGAGTGCCAATATTTCTTGGTACATTCCCAGAACAAAAACAATGACTGGACAGTGTTTGTTATAAGATCCTGGAATTAGGCACCCTGAAGCTGGGCTCACACTGGAGGAGGTTTCAATCCGAATCACAAGCACAGAAGGAGAAACTACACATATTCTTGTCTCTAAACTCAGACACGTATCAAACTAGATTTAAAAATAATGGTGCATCACACATCACAGGTTATCTTGCTAGAAGGAGAGAGAAGTCACGGAGCAGCGCACCGCCTCACGAAGAAACAGATGCAAACAAAATGGAGCAACAACTTGCTGAAAAGTCAATAAAACTCTGCAGGGAGGAAAGAAACAAAAGCAGAAAGATAAACAAATGCGGAAGAGAAAAAAAGAAGTGACTATCAGCCTTATTATCTGGAGCTAATGTTGGTCTCAAAGGCTAGAATGGTGCCAGGGTGATAACTGTAACTATCCAGATTTTAACTCATAAATATCAGCATGTTTGATATTAACAGGACGGCCTCGATGGGAGCGAGTGGTTCACAAGGTGCAAGTGTGGATCTGTGAACTCCTCACATTGCTAGGATTCAAACAAAGATCACAGACCAGATTTCTCCTCCGATTGTCCGGAAGGCTGAAACAGGGGTTAGTCATCTCAAAACTCCTGCAGTGTGAGCCCAGCTTAACGACCATCCTGTACAAATTTAAGCCCCCATTTCAAAAATATTTCAAGATTCGCACTGGGAACTTTCCCCACCACCTCTGGTTCTCATAACAATACTGTCCAGACCTCACTTTTCCTTTCAAGTCTATTTGCTAACAGGTCTTCGTTCACAACCTCAGCGTCTGTTCATCAGAAGTTGTGCTAAAGAAGCTCCCGTTTCCTTGGTTAGTACCAGAATAATAAGTCTCTGGTTGTCTTCCGAGAGCTTCTCATCCCCAATTGTGGCTCTGCACAGCTGCCCCAGTTAATAGGCTCACACTCTCATCTCATCCACCCACCGCGGTTCAGAGGCATGCCAGGTGGAGGGGGCAGGGGCACTTGTGACTGTCCTGGGGGCACCGGAGGTGGAGGAGGGTAACCAGTAGGCGGGAGGCCTATCCCTGGTGGGGGTACGTGGCCTGGCGGCATGCGTGGAGGCGGCGGAGGAGGGTAGCTGTTGTACCCCGGCGGCGGATAGGTTGGCGGCAAGTTGGGTGGCGGGTAGGTGGAGGGAGGAGGCGGTGGGCCAGGAGGTGGTGCTGCAGGTGGCGGATAGACGTGCGGGTGATACGGCGGTATTGGGGGCGCGTAGCTGGGCGGCATGGGGGCGTAGGAGGGACCCTCTGTCTTCATCATGGACTGCAGGCTCTGGTAGCCTTCTCCGGACATGTAGGAGCTGGTGGTGGACATGATGTAGTTGGAGGGCGGAGGCGGAGGAGGGCGGTGGGGCAGGGGAGGGGGCTGGTGTGGAGGTGGAGCGTGCGGCGGCGGAGGAGCCGTCTCGCTCACTGGTTCTGCTTCTGTGGGAGGAGCTGGAGAGACAGGACACAAGAGAGAGGACTTGTGAAAAACACGGCTGTAATTACGGCTACTCTTTTCCACCGTGATCGCAAATAATAACCTCTCCATTCCCAGACAGTGAGCACACAGCTGGGCCAAGACTACCAGGCTTCAGCCACATAGGCGGTCTCATTATCAGGCTCAAGCACTAATCAGATTGGTCTGGGAGAGGTTAGCAGTATGCGTGTGTTGGGAAACATAATGTCCAGACGAGCTGCGGTTATGTAAGCAGACTGAGAGCGACTAACGACTTCGGGTTGCTTTCTAAGCTCGAGTCGCCGGCAGGGGGTCCTGGCTTCTCATTACGGGGCTATTTGGTGGCACACGCAAACAAACAGCAGGGGGGTGAGGACGCCAGCATGACGCTATGTTCAAACCAAACCCTAAATCTTTTTAAGTTCCTCACAAATTGGACGGGACAGAGACGGGAGATGACATAAGCGGTCGTGCTTACCTGGGGGAGGCTGCGATGTCGGCAGCGGAGGCATGGGGCTCTCCAGTCGAGGAATCTTTGATCCGACTTGTTCTGTGAATTAAACAGACCAGTCAGTAAGATGAAAAACATTTTTAAAAATCTGTGATTTATTAAATTTATTTAGTTATTTTTCCTCTATGATTATATATTTAAAGATCCCAAAACCTGCCAGGAAAATACTCGAGGCCACTTGTAATCTTGTCAAGACTTTATTTTAACTGATGTCATGTTAATATGTGAACTGGAGGCATTTCAGTGGATATATTAACCTTCATTATGATTTCAAATACTTTAAAATCCAAACAAATATGTTGAACATTTTACCTGGAGCCTTTGGTTCATCTTTTGGGGATGTCTGAAAAAAAGAGATGCAAATATCACTTTGAGGCAGGTTATGGTAAATGTAGTGTATGAATAAAATTAAACATATACACAAGCTGTGTAATCGTTCATCGTCATTTATCATTAAATAAACAGAGACGTTTCGACAGATGGACGTCAAATGACCTTCTGCTGCATTTGTATGTGATTCGAGTGAACTCTTTATTTCAACCTGGTGTATTCCTCAGTAATTTGGTCATTGTGGTGCTATGAGTCATGCTAATCCTGCTTCTTTGGCTCTGTTGCTGGGGATTTGGGGAAAGAAGCAATTGAAAACAAACAAACAAAAAAAAACAAATGGCATTTAGCATAGCAATTAGCATTTGCTCCCTGCAGCTTCCCAAAGAAATCAGACTTTTTTTCTTAATTATTTTAAAATGACGACATTTTAAATTCCTGTTGTTTTCAGCTGGAAGAAAAGACCAACGCTGGCTGTTCTGTATCGTTCAGGCTTTTGTAAAGTAAGTAGCAGTTAATACAGTTAGTAAAATGGCCATTCTAGGGAACTAACTTCTGTTTATTTTTTTTTCAGATTCACAAATGCTCAAAATGATTCACTTCAGAATGCTGCTGGAAGCGCATGCTAGTTGCCACCCATGCTAAATGTTGTTTTGTGTCACTCCTTGTTTCCTAATCTCTCCCAAAGCCAACGAGTACAAAGTCAGCACAGCACTTGGAACCCTAATAGCCACATTAACGGGAAATACACAAGACTGAAATAAACTTTAATTAACCTTTAAGCAAGCAACAATGCAAATCAACAGTATGCTTACATGTGAGCGTTTGAGCTGGCGTGCAGGGCTGCCACCCTGAGGGGAAGTCTTCTTTGGTGGCGGGGGAGGCGGGTTGGCGGCTGGGGGCGCCCCCTGTGGAGCTGGAGGAGCAGGGGTCGGGAGAGCGGGCGTCCGCTCCTTCTCCTGCATCTGTTGAGGGATAGGCTTGTTCCCCTGGGAGTAAAGGTCCAGAATCTGGTGGCAAATGTCTGGAAGACCAAGAAATGCTTTGGGTGAGACAAATCTTTAAAAAAAAAAAAAAACAATAAACAAGTATTAAAAAAGGTATAAAGTGTCGTGTCTTTACGACGAGCACCTTCAAGTAGCTCCACTGGAACATCCTGGACAAATTGCTCCCACCAGCGGCGTGACGACTGCTTGGCGGTCCACTCCTGGATGTCAAACTTACACAGGCGGCCTGCCAGGTACATGACGGCCACAGCGATGATCTCTGGCTCCCACTGCAGAGACAGCATGGTGCACAGGCTGCCAGAGACACAGACAATGTGGTTAAACTCTTCTTTTAGTTTCGTCAGTTGGGAGGAAACTGCTTCACAAATGAAGATCTGGACCCTCTAAAAGATGTTGACTATTTTCCAACCCATTATGTGCCCCATTATCTTCCTTGTTTTGTGGCATATGCCTTTTTTTGTTTCCACACAATAGAAAGGCAGACAGGAAATGTGGGGAGAGAGAGAGAGAGAACATGATTACAAAGGGCTGTGGTTGGATTTGAATCAGGGACGTTGCTGTATTGTGGTGTACATCTTGAACCACTAGACTATTGTGACATCCCCATATGATTCACTCGTTACACAGAACATTTCCCAGACAGTACCGTTTTAGTAAAACTTATATTTGTCCATGCATGTTTGCCAGACAATTTGTTGGGCAATAGAGTTGAAAATACTCCATACAAGACATGTTGCATTACGTTAAGTCATCTATGATAACAACAGTGAGATTGGAAGCCTCATGCCGGCTGCTCACCTGTCATTGACAAAGGTCCATGCCATCTGTAGCACCTTGCACACTTTGTTCTTGTCCCCTAAAACAATAAAAGAATAACATCAGCATTTTACTGGCTCTTAATATAAGAATTTAGCAGATTCTGTGCATTTCATGCCATACCTATTCAACCTCACCTTTGAGTTGTTTGACGTAGCGCAGCAGGAACATGTAGGGATGCTCCACCTGCAGGTCAAATTTGATCGTTTGGAGCAGGATTCTCTCCAACACCATCACCTCTTCCTGTAGAAACAAGTAGGATATGCATCAAATTTACATATTTAGACATTTAATCTATGAAAATAAGAAAGCTGTTGTATTGGAGTAATTCAGTCACACATATTCAAACCTGCAACTGATTCTGAAGAAGAATAACGACACCTAAGACTTGCTGTTATTGATTTTATCTTAATCAACGCTCGTCAGTTATTCACACTCCATCACAAAGAGGACTTCATGACCCTTTGCACCCACTACATCATTAGTCTGAAGTATGCAGTTCATCAGGAAGCAAAATCCTTTAACACAAGGTCATCGTAACAAGCAACGAGGCTGCAGCATATTTTCTCCATGTTGTCTTTTCCAAAGCTACATAACATCACATAATATTCGTTTCTTTTCTTTGCTCAGTGACCACAATGAATTCCATAAATTAGATAATTAGCAAGACCAAACCCTTTAACTTGCATCACCCCTTTCGTTGTCATGCTGAAATGTTTAAAGACATAGAGGGAAAACTAAAGAAACTGCACCTTCGGATCATCTCCAAACTGGGCAAACTGCACATCATTCAGTAAGCTCCGAGCTGTTTTGATGATGTCTTTGCACTTCTTTGGGGTTTCCTCTACTTTCCCAGCCAGGAAAAGGCAGCAAGCACCAGTCACCTGATGAAACACGAATCACAACATTAATCAGACACATTGAATCCACTTCAATGCAGGAGAGAAGCTGAGGATGGATGGATCAACTAAACTTACATATCTGGGAAACTGCTTGAAGGAGTGAAACATGTAGAAGCGGTGGAAATATATGATGCCAGTTGCCAGGGTGTCATAGTGTCTGAGTGATGACAGTTAAGGATGCATAGGAACCACTTAGACGTCTTTAAAAACCAGTAGCTACACAAAATAAATACTTCAACTGTATTGCCATGATAATTGTCTAGAATCACTTATTGTTGCAGCCTGTAAAATGCTCACATCCATGTCTTTACAACACAATGTTAACATAACTGTAAAAATCTATGAGAGAGCAAAGACAAGCCAATGCTTAGCAAGACACAGCATTTCAAGTCTGTAGTTTCTTCATAGTTTGTCTTCTGTTGGTCATTTACTGTCCTTCATCAGAGGAAAAACTGAAGCTAGTGGCACTGATTTATCGTCTATCCCTTTGCCAGTTTTATAATTAATCAATCAATCAATCAATCAATCAAGGATACAGGCCAAGTCTGGTCCCCACGTCGAATATGAAGCGGGCTCCCTCTCTCCGATATCGGGCCTCTGTGCCAGGGTCCAGGCCCTCAGACTGAGAGGGGGTGTGGGCTAAATCCTTCTTGTCCCAGTACCAGCATGGCTTGATGTGATCCAGAATTGATTGGCCAGTCATTGATAGATTCTCCTTGGATTCCTTCATTGATTGAGGGGAGGCGGTGGATGGACCCGCTGCACTGGACTGCTAAGACACAAGGTAGAGAGATTAACATGAGATGGTTGTTGTTCTTACTCACCAGCATCTAGTAAGGGCTGGGCCCAAACAGCCGACTATTCGTTCGCTGTGCTGGAATCGGGATATCACTTTTGGATTCGAGTCATGTAACATACTTGGCCAGACCGTAGTTTTCACTTTTTTTTTTCTTCAAAACTTTTTTGCAGCACTTTTACATTCATGCAGCCCCATGTCATCATACCCCCCACTCTGTGCTTCACTGTAATTACGATTCAGTCACTGTGGTAGACGGGACCAGGTTCACACTGAACATGCTGGACCCCATCTGACATGAACAATCTCTTGTGTTTCCACAGATTTTTCACTTTTGTTGCATTGAGTTTCTTCTTTGGTGTTTACATTATCAATACAGTCTGTCTGAAGTGTTTGTTTTTGATTGTCAATCAGACACAACCCTCTACATATCAGTACAGAAATAATTCAATTATCAGAAAGTGATACCATTTTGAATCATGTGACATTTAAGTGATAGTACAGAGGCGTGCATTCACTTCTGCTGTGTACAGTAACATGAGCTATTACTAAAGCTTTACTTGACTTTTACCTAAGACTTACGCCACACCCAGTACACACATACAAACACATAATATGGTAGCTTACACTCCACATTCTGTGAAATACTGAAGGGGGAAGGGTCACGTTGTTAAACCAGCGTTTTCTCATCAATTTCTGTAGAGGCTACGTAGCTAACTGTGTACAGTTTGAAAATCCAACAGATCTACAAAGCCAAAAACTGAACAAGATTCCGCCAGAGACGTAATGTTTGCCATGTAACCTCCTATCCTATTAATTTATTGATAAATGTGGGCTTCCAGTATGAGTATAGCATTAGCACGACAACATAGGAAATTATTGTGAATCAGACAAAGAAGGTTTGGGAGTTAGCATAACGAAGCAGCTAGCGGCTAGCTAACACCTGGTAACTTAAAGTTAGCTTCGTAAGACTGAATAAGCAGGTATACGTGGAGATTAGGTAAATATGTAATATGCGGGAGATAAGCGCAGGAGGTCGCTTAAAAACGCCGAAAGGCTAAAACTCTTAAAATGAAGGCAGTGAACGCTGTCATTTCAGCAGGTGAGTCTTGAGCAGCCTCGGGGAGCTAACGTCGGCTAGCAAACTTGCTCCACTCGAGGTCTGAGCAGCGCCGAGGATGGAAGATCTAAAAGTAAGTACATTTAATCGCCCTGCCGCTTGTAGTGAGACACGACTCTTACCTTTAACATGTAGGCGTCGGAGTAAGTCACCTAAAACAGACCGGCGAACGAATAATCCGCAGTTATTCACAGTAAATTGGCTAACAAGTGATCAACAACAGTCCCCATTGTAACAAGGGCACCGCCATTTTCCAGCACGTCAGAGGCAGTCGGGTTACGTCATTACGCAGAACGTCAGGCGGTAAGACAGGAAGTGCATTTTACATGAAATATAACCTGATAACTGACATTTTTACACATTTATAGACAGAAATGTCTCTTGTACCTTTTGTGAACGTAATACAAAAATATTTTTTTCACCTAAATATGCTCAATATGATCATTCATAGGTAATTTTTGTTGTGTTTTTTATGTTTAAATGTGCAGTGTCCCAACCTTAACTGTGAGATTAGTTAGGCACATTTGCATTATATATAACATTTTAGGTTTTTAACCTCAACATGTAGCTTAGTCAGGTTAATCTGTATTACATATAATACTGTAGGCATTAATGTTTAGTCAGAGACACGTGCATAATTTATAGGGTCCTAACTGTAATATTTAGATAACTCAGGTAATTTAGCTTAATAATTTATTACTATAGGGGCTTAACCTACATATATAAACTTGTTAGTTAAATTTATAATGCTAATCATAGTTCCGTACCAGAAAGCATTTTGGCTCAACAGCTGTTGTTTTAAATGCTCTTTATAAATTACAGTGACTCGACTTGTTCTTTTAGTGTGAAACAACTCAACAGGGCAGATGTGAATCTTCACTGTTTTGAAGCTGCTTATCAGTCTACTCTTTTAAACTTAATGATACTATCTGTTACTATGACAACCCCAGTGGCACTCTTGAATATCTGATTCATTTCATTCTTCTATGTGCCTTTTTTTTTTCTATCCGCAAACCAAAATTTGCTAAATCGCCCCCTAAGTTTTCAGCTTTTCTCCTACAACTTCTTTAATGAAATCCCTCAATTCAACAAACAACAACAAAGCAATACACTTCTGGAAAGTTATACCCTAAATCACCTGACTGAATATGTTTTGGATGTAGACCTGTTTTGTCCCATATGTTGCTCTGTTACTTGAATAGAATAAAACTTTATTGATCCCTTTGGTGGAAACCTCAGGGAAATTGTTGTAATACTGCTTTATTAGAAGGAAAAAAAAAAGTTAAATCTATTTGTTTAATGCCTAAAATAGGATTCTTGCAGCTGGTAAAAACCCCTTATATGTTTGTAAGAGTTTATGTTGTCATGATGATGATTAAAAATGTGTTGTTTCTGATAATATCCACTAGAGGGAGACAAAGAATTACTGGTGGACTTTGGCAGCCAGGACTGGATTTTTGACACATGCAGTCTGTGATTTGACCAGATGACTCACTGGAAAAGCATCCTGCTGAACAAGGTTGTGCAAATAATAAGGACACAAACAAACACAAACAACATCTGCATTTGCAATATGTTGAATATCAGACTGTGAGTTTCTACTGCAGATCTGGAATGCCCCCAAGTGCTTTTTTTTGCCCCTAAGTAAGGAAGTAGGACTCTAACTGCTACTCCCACATCAAAAGGAAGCAAAGCTGGACAAAGACACAAAGAAAGAAGAGTTTTATGATCGAAAAAGGTTCGTCACATGTCATCAAGGTGCAACATTCTTTGAATAATTATACAGAATATACATTAGTAGAAGCCAGTTTTCTTTTTGTGTTTTCACAAACTGGCTTGCAGGACTGTGGCAAATGAGGGAGCTACACCATTTACAACAGTCAGACAGTCATTCATTAAGCAAACCGAGGACAGTTAAAACTCGTGGAGCGTGAGGGTCGGCAGAATGAGGAGTGCAGGACGCGCTCAGGAGTGGAGGTTAGTGTGTTGTAAGATGCAAAAAGGCAAAGTTAAAGGAAAGAACAAAATAGAAAGTAAAGCTGCATGACTGCATAGCTGCATGACTGCCCAGGTAGGTGAGTTATTTAAGTGTCAGCCACCACTTCATTAGCTGGGAATTGTGCATCCAGGTGTTCTCACTTGGCACAAATGAACCCTGCCCCACCCACCAGGCACCTGAAATATAGGAAGACATAAGAAGTAAAGACAGAAAAGGGCAGAGGTCGGCACAATGCTTACAGATAAACGACTTCATGTTTGTTCTATTTGAATTAAAGAGATCAGACTTTCTAATAATTTCTGATCCTGAATGTGCTGAAGTAGATGAAACAGAGAGTAAAGCAATACCACTTTTTAAATTGATTATTTTTTAAATATAGTCTTTAAAGATCACCGGGTCAAACTTGACTCGTAGCTGGTTTACTTTACTCATCGGTAGAAAACACTGGAATGCTGTTCAAATGCAAGAACATGACTGGTTTTGACTCAGTTTTAGCATTTTATTTTAGTTTTTACTGCTTTTGGATTATACTCAACTAATTAAAACACACACAACAAGCTTTGATTTTAAAACAATATGCATATGACATTCAAAACTGCGAAGGATACACGTATTGCTATCAGGCTTTAACTCACAATTGTTTTGGGCTTTTACTGGAGAACAAATTGTTTTCTATCCATGGTAAAGGTTACTGAGTGTCACATCGGTGCTATCTTGACCCAAAATGGGTAAAATTTTGACCCAGTGTTTCAGTGTATAACAAAGAGGACTCACCGGTGACACGTCCCAACTATTTTTTTTTGCAAATTAATTAAACTTTAATACAAGTAAAAGAAGAATAATTTGACGTTTTCGCACTCATCCGGTCAAAATTATCGCAATCCGTTATGAACGTGCAGAAGATCTACAGAGGAACCTTCGCAGAACAAGGCGGCAATAATCATTAAATATGAATTGAGGATTTAATGTTGAATACGATTATCAGTTGTAGTAGAAAACTCATTTTTTCTTTAACTTTTGTCGTCAAAATGACCAAAAAAAAAGCAGGAGAATCGCCCCCCCGTCTGTGTTCGCTCTGACTGTGACAGCATAAGAGCAGACTACGAGTAACATCTCGTGCCCTCTTCTTTCCCCTTCTGAGAAAAGCCAGCATTGAATCATTTACTCCGTCCAAATTAAAATTTGGAATCTGCATGCATTATATATTCACCCCTGCTCGGACAAATCCTCTTAACTGTGGGAGAAATTGTCAGGATGTGTCCTGTAGAAAAGTAAGAGCCTTGTCTGGTTGTATTGCCCGTAGCAAGGGAGCATCTCAATCTGTCACTCAAATCCACACGCACACACACTCACAGCGACCACAGTAAATCAGCTTATGAATAATATATACTTATACTTTCTTTATTAATATTAAACATTGCATAATGAAGCGGCGACTATAAGCAAATCCCAGAGCAATATTCATATTACCATGAGCTCTCCTGGAGTGGACCTCTCATTGTTTATGTCAGTCCTGTCACATTGTGGTTAAACACATCAGAGTGGCTGCTTTTAAAAGGTTTAACCTCGACAACACGAAATCCTCTTATTGTTCTTTAAAAAACTGTAAAAACTGAATTATGTGCAAAAGCGTGTCGGTCTATTTTTATACTTGTATTAATGTCGTTTTTTTGTATTCTTTGGAGAGTAAACAGATGGGAGGGAGATGAAAAATGGAAGATAAAACGGATGTAACGAAGGATGTGACCCAGAATCAAAGCCGCTCGTACGTTTGTCCACTCATGTGCGAGAGTTTTTCCTCTTTAACATTGTCTCCGGGCTCATTTTTTCATGTTTTAGCATAAATTATAAGTGTTCGGAATCTCCTTAAACGTGGAAAAACCAGGAAAAAAAGAGGTTGAATGTCATCGTAATGCTTCCTGTTAGTTGGACAAAACTTTTCATTTCCTCGTCTCCTGCGCAGATACTGCCCTGCGGTGTGTTCGCGTAGCTCCCGTTCACTGATGGCACTTAACCACGAGAGATGCATGTCTCCTCAGAGGCAACACTTTGGACTTAAAACCTTTCCTGTGTCCACAAGCATGGGGTATTTGTGGTAAGTTGGCCCTGTGCAACCCAGCTTAAACTGCCTTTGCCCGCAGCCCTGCAGATACAAGCTATAATGGAGACATTGATGTATTATTGAGAAACCCATGGGTGAGGATCAAGGAGCTGCTTGCAGGCAGCAGGGATGGCAAGAGAGAGAGAGTGTGTGAACTCAGGATAATGTTTTTTCCTTCAGCATTCAATATGTCCACGAATGCTGCTGCCGCCGCCGCTGCTGCTGCTCTCTTGGCCCGGCGCGAAGAAGAAGACATTTCATGTAATATCACATACCGAATTTATGCGCTCCAGTCAAAGCAATATGCTCGACAACATGCTTGGCCTATCTGTGAAAGATAGCTGTTGTGCTGTAGTGTTTCCATGTGGCGTCTGCTGAGGTTATGTCTACTTGAGCCAGAGCTGAGATGACATTTCATTTATATAAATAATTACTGTCCTGAAAGTCCCCTAGGCCTGCCCTGAAGCAATCAAACTTCTAATGCTCTTAAAATTGCCCACCATGTTTTATTAATGGCAGGCTGTAAAATGTATTGCTATAGCTGCACACTTCTCTGCTGATCCGCCAGGAAATAGTGTCAACTTTAAACGGCCGTATGAGGCTTTTATTTTTACTCAACAATGTATTTCAACCAAATTACGGCGCTGCACAAGTTTGAATTGTATGTGGAGGTAAAAACGAGAAAGGGACTTGAGTGCGTTCTAGCCGCACTGCACAAAGCACTCATCTGTGCATACACCAATCTAAATGAATACAGTGAAGTATGTGCAGAATGATTGCCCATTAGTGCCATTAATTGCCTCTGAGTGAACCTGATCTGCTCTTCAAGGACTCTCTTAGACTCTGAATTGTGTAAATGGAAAATTAAGGAGGCTTCATTCTAAAAAATAAGAATAAAAGTAAAGTAATGCTGTGTTAAGGTATCACACCCACCGAACGGGTTTGTAATGTCTCCTGACTGTGCCAACAGAGGGTACTGTTGCCTCACAACATGTTTAAATTATTCCAACAACAAAGCTGCAGCATGCTGTTTGTCCCCCCTCTGGTTCAATGTGTGGAAATATGTGAGCTTTACATTCATACTGATCATGTGCAGGAGAATTATTTGACCATTTCTGCAGCCGTACAATATATTAATCGTCTAAATTATTGGTGACCTTTGAATCAGATTTGACCTGTATGTGATCTTGGTGTTCAATTTGTTTTTAAAAAATGACTTGGGGAATTTCTGCTGGCTTTGTGTGAAAGGAAAGAAAAGTGTGGAAGAAGGAAAATGATCAGACTGCTTTGGAAAACATCCTGGTTTTTGGAACCACAAAAAGTGAGAAGGTGAGTGTTGGGTTTTTAACTTGACACTGCTTCCAAAGCCAGACGGTGTGACCTTATCTTTCAAGTAAGCAGCCACCGATGAGTGATAATTTCTTCCCTTCTGCTTTGGAGCTCATCGCTGAGCTCCGGGGAGCCGCCGCTTGTTGCCCCCAGTGTCCGTGTGTCGCCCGCCGCCTTCACATGTCTGTGGTGTCTGACGCGCCACGGACGCACTTGAACTTGAATCCCTTCCCACTCCACGGAGGCAAACCCCAACCACACACACACACACACAGGCTGCATATAGCCCGCACACACACACACACACACACACATGCACACACACACAATTGGTCCAAACAGAGCATCTTTCATCGTGTGAGTCAACAAGGAGTAGCCTCGACACTGAAGGAAACTGGGAAACATTGGACCTCAGCTTGTTGGAAGAAAAAAAGAGGAGGAGGTGTCTTGTCTGCCCGCCTGCTCTCTCTCTCTCTCTCTCTCTCTCTCTCTCTCTCCCAATCAACGAGGCTACTGCCACCAGAGCCAAGAGTTGCCGTTCCGCGCACCGATGCCAAAACGCGCAGGAGGAGTCAGTGCCAAAGGGTCATTTTAGCGCACCACTGCTGAAATGGAAGGACTGTAGGGAATCCTAAAGTAAACAGCTGCCATTTGACCCCCCAGATGATATAATTATATCATTAAAAAAATAAGAAAAGGGGGAAAAAAGGAGCTAAAGAGGAGACAAACATCCATCACCGGTTGGAGTGCTCCGTACTTCATCTGTCACCGCGGTCGCTGCAGAGGTGGGCAGTCCAGGATTTTTTTTTTTTATCTGCAAAAGCTCTTTGCAAAAATAATAATATTACTTACCTGAGCACATATCAGCTCCTCGGTCGCTTGTAGACAAACTGCTTCCTGAAAAAAAATCAAAAAACTACACTTTGGCTTCCTTAACCCAGGTGTTGCTTCCTCCGAAGACGCTGCAGGACATTGTGGACAAACTGGTCTTCCATCCTTATTGCGCGCCCGTCCGACTGTTCACCTTTCCAAACGCGCACCAAAAAGTTGCAGCTGTACAGACTGTGAATAGAAGAGGGATTAGAAAAAAAGGAGGGGAGGAAAAGTTGGTCACCTGCGATCCAGAGAGGACCGACACCACGGTCCAAGCCGACTCCAAGTGCCGTTCACCGGGCGATGCCAGAGTAAATGCCGGGGCAATGTCCCGCCGCAAGCAGGTGAACCCGCAGCACTTATCGTTGACGCACAGGGAGACAGTACAAGGTGAGTTTAATTCTTTTCACACCTTCCAACTAATCCCTTTCTTATGTGATTTAGCCGTTATTATTAATTCTGATTTTCAGAACAAAATTAAACCAGTTTTGGGGATGAGATAGAGTCTGTTACTGCTCATATGTTGTTTTTGGAGTTTGAAAATGCGCAAAAGAAGACAGACAATTACCAGCAATAACTGATTTGTGAGAATAAATTGACCATGTGATAAGACTTGTGCACAAACAAGGAAAACACTGTGGTTCGTTGTGAACATTCTCACAGACTCAATCTGAGTAATTGCAGGTTAATAAGGGTTGTTTTTACGCCTCTGAAATTTATCCACACGGCAGAGTTAATATTCCAAATGCGCCTTTTACAGCTTCACAGGACTTTACTGCGAGAGATGATAACTACAATGGGGGTGTCTGGCAGGAGTGTGTGTGTGTGTGTGTGTGTGTGTGTGTGTATGTATGTATGTGTGTGTGTGTGTATTTGCAAGCATGCATGCACGTGCGTCGAGTGTGTAATCTAACATTTCATCACAACACAATTTTGCATCTTTTTTTCTCGTGCAGCACATTGCAACATGTGGCCATGTGTACACCACATTTACGTTTTGCACATGCTTCTAAATGTAGTTGTCAATTAGGAGATTTTACACAAGGCAATTTCTATTTAATTTTAATTGAACAACCTGTTCATCCCTCGTGCTTGCTTTCACTTTCTGTCTCACACACTCGCATTCACACACAAAGTCTCTAAATTATTTTCTTCTTGACACATAAAAGGCCTGTTTACGTTTTAGGAACTAAAATCTAACAGTGCATGAAAATAAGTTTGCAGCCTTTCATAAAACAAGACTACGTCACACACGCAAAGTTTAATTTTAAAACCGAAGCTCACAACTTGTTTGAAGCTTTTCAGAGCTGCGACCAAAAAAAAAAAAAAGAATTGTGATTAAATAACGCAGATGAAATCTGTGGCAGGAATTTTTTTTTGGGAGGGGGGGCATATGATTAAAAAGTCACATAATCCAATTTCAAATCAATTATATCAATCTAACCTTCATCTCCCAGCGCTCTGCTGTGCCTAAATCCAATTTCATAGAGGCCTAATCTGGGTAATTCATTGCAGAAGTTCATGATGTAATCTTTGGTCAATCTGTTTTGTGTTGAAAACGGTTTAGGTGCATTCCGTCCCAGCCGACACATTCAGCATTTAGACTAATCATTTATCCCAGTCATTTTGTCTCCCTTTCTCTCCCTCTCTCATCTCTCTCTGACTTTTCCCCCCTTTGAGTTTCAGCCGAAATAATTACGGCAATTTCGAACCAAAGGAGCAATCTGAAATCCAAATGTTGGCTCCTTTTTTATTTTTTTTCTATATTTTAAATTAAACCAATGTGTAACATCTTCATCAGTTCTGAAGGATCCCGTTTTAATATCGATCTGACAGTTTCTTCTCTCTGTCAGTTAATTAAGGTGGAGACGAGTTGACCTCTTTACCATAAATTCTCGACTGAATCAACATTTCTAACATAACTACAGTTTCACCTCAGGCATGTGTGTGTGTGTGTGTGTGTGTGTGTGTGTTTGTCATATTTCATGCAGGTAAATGTTAAATAATTACAACGTTTTGCACTTATCCATTTGTTTCTGAGTGAACAAATTTGGACTAACTGTTAAATATTTGCTCCAGCTCCTTGCAGTCATGGGTCACTTTGTTTGACATCTTTTGCATAATGGTTTTTGCACGAACCCTCACAGCACCTGCTGTGAGTTTTTTTTTCTTTCTTAAAAGTGAACCTGTGGTGCTGAATGTAGATAAGACTGATAATTAGCTGTCACAGATTAGCTTTAAATTTCTTAATTTCTTTGCTGCGTTCAAATGTCCCCAGGATTGGTGTGTTCTTGCCTGAAGCTTTTAATGACTGCTTTTAGAGCTCGTTTTAATCATCTCCTGACCTGTCTTCAGAGACTTGCAAGTGTCATGCAACAACTTAATATCTGTGAATGCTGACGAATGTTTGATGTTCGGCTCGCTCATGCAGAAGTCGGTGTTGTGCTGGAACAAGTACAGTAGGATGCTGAAAAAGCTGGGCGAATCTGGAGGGCCTGAATCTGGTCCTACCTGTTCTTTCACATGATACGCTCTCTGCTGCTCGTTGAGCTGTGGCCTCAAGCAGTGACAATGACCTGAGAGGCACAAGTGCAAGTTTAAGGAAGGACTGGACTTGCAGGTATTTTTTTTTTTGTTTAAGGTCAAATGCAGTTCCAAAACTGGACTTTAAACAGGCGAGTACAAAAGCATTATTATTCATTAGGAATCGTTTTTCCTCTGCAAGAACAATGTGAGTCTGTGTTCGACTGTGTGCACAGATGCACTTCTATTTGCATAAAGCACCTAAGCTGTGTTTACCATACGTACAGGACACCTTCATAGTGATAGCCCATCTGTGGCTGTGATGGATGGAAGGCTTGAAATGTGCCTATCACTCAGCGTCTTGCAGGCTGCATGCTTGCTGTGGGCTGATTCTTTGGGTGGGTCTGGAGAGGACAGGATCACACCTCAGGCTGGAGGAGCTGAAGAGCGCTGGGGGGGGAAACCAAACTGTAATTTGATTGAGTCAACATATAAGACGAGCTTTTCATATGTGCAGCGAGAAGGTGCTGAAATTAAGTAAAACTGATTTTTTTTAAAAAGAAGAAGAAGAAGAAACTCGTGTTTGTTTTTAATATCGCTGTGATATTTTTAATCCGTCAATAGGTCGGCTTCGTTCGTGCATTTCAGTATCAGCTGTCAAAACAAGTCACAAGGTATTTCTTTACATAAGTAATAATGTGAAGTTCCTGCAGGGTGCCAACATACATCAAGCACATGTCAGATCAGGGGTTATTCAGTGTAACTGAACACAGCCCTGTGCCCTGCAGCCACAGGCCTATAGGTCGCGTATTGCTGCAACATGAAGTTCACAAAACCTGAATATCAGCATATTTCTGGACAGGCTTTTAGCGAAACACCGTGTACTGGAAATCTACTTGCCAGGCCAGACGGTTCGAGGGACATGCAGGTGACTGTAGATGCAATGAATGCACTCAGTCCACCAGATGTGCCAACAAAAAAACCACACACACACAAACACAAACACACAGACTGCAGAAATCACACTCAGAAAACATGCACAGCTTTAACACGTTCACACTCCGCATACGAACTTGCTGTATCTTCATTTGACCTTCAGTTTGGAGTTCATTATTTATTTTAATAAGACTCTTATGGGGAAAGGCATCTTTTTTTTATTCTCGATGATTCAGCTTGTTGTCACATCCACAACAAGGAGAGACCTGTCACACAAACATCTTTATGAATTACTCACAAATTAACGTGAAAACAACTGCTGCTCAGCATCACAGGTCGCCCTTATTCAGACTGCTGGTGGATTTCCAATCTAATATCAGCATTATTGCAGATAATTCTCCTCTGGATCCAGTCATGGAAACGCCTCGAGATAACTGTTTACTCTCACAATTGGCATGCTACTTGTGAAACAGTTAATGTTTTCTTCTTTATTCACACCATATGGCTGTCAAATGATGGGGAGAAACCCACCGTACGCACTGTAACACCACAGTAAATATTCACACACATTGTGGTAACCGGATGATAATCTCACAGGAGATGACTGGTGAGCGATTTATGATTGACTGTGAGGCATTGCAGTTTGTTCTCGGATTTTCTTTCAATATTTCAATATTATTGAACTCATTTAATCAGTTTTGCAACACTATAAAGCTTCTTTTTTTATTATTATATCGCTAAAATTGTTTGGCAAATTTGATTTATATCGCCGAATGTCATGCCTCATAGGTTGCAAGTCATTTACAGCGATTTGGTGACAAGTCACAGTCAGCTGCAGAGCCGTATTTTGCTCACTTTCAGCCTGATAATCTAAGATTTATGATAAGGAATGAGACTGTTACAGATTAAATGGTGATAAGATAATGAAACACACAGGCCTGGCCTTACACAACGCACACTGTTGCAGCTCTCCTTGGCAATCGCTGCTGAGAAAAAGGGATAGGCTAAGCGAGGCCGCTTGTTGTTTGAATTTTTGATTGCAACCATCTGCAACGTTGCTGGTGTCATTTATTTTCAATGACAGCGTGAATCTTACCCGACTTTCCCTGTGGGGTTTACACATAGGATCGTCAGCGTGTGTTGTGTGTGTGTGCGTGTCTATGTGTGTGTGTGTTCTTCGCTCAGTAAATGGAAAAGGGGGGGAAAACAAAGAAAAGGAAGACAGGTCTGAACCCATACAGTATGGCTGACTGTCATATGAGTGCCCATGGCCTTACTCTGCCTTTAACAGCAGAACACAGTGTACAGCTGGTATTAAAATGTTGTGTAAGGTCAGGACTTTAGCGTCAACGGAAAATAGTTTCGAGGTTTCTGTTTGTCGCTCGCTTCGGGAGCATTTCAGCAAATTCAAAATTAAATTAAAACAAATATCCGGTAGAACAATTACCTTTCCTGATTGAGACGTGAGAAGAGCAGAAGTTGTTAAGCCATGGTGTGAATTTTTGTTTGACTCACCTTCACTTCACGCTCAGTGAAACAACAAAAGAATCGTTATTTTTAGCAGCATATGAGGAGAATAATTAGGGTCATTAATGTCAGAGGACGTGACAGCAGGCCGGAGTGCTCATATATGTACTTTGGCATGTTTTACCCACCTAACTTGTTTTACCTGGCCACTAATGTGAAAAACACAGATGAGGACATCACATGTAGTACAACACATACCAATCTTGACAGTATAATTACAGCGTAACCGTAACCAAACTGCAGGGGGAACAATTTTAACATTTGCAATTAAAAAAAAAGAGAAAAAAAAATCTGCTGCAAATGTAACTATTCCATCTCTGTGACAACGTTATTTCTTTATTAAGTGCTTTCTGGCCGGGGCGTTTGAATATTTTTTCGACCTTTTTACATAAATGGAAATTTTTTCGGTGAAAGAGGCCCATTGTCTTCAGCTGTGTCTCCCATCTGGTACATATTGTGCAGTGGCAGTGTGCAGCAGCAGCAGCAGCAGCAGCAGCAGCAGCAGCAGCAGAGACTGACTGACTCTCTCCTCATCAAACTGATAGGGGGTGCTCTAAGGCTGCCTGACTTAACTCACACTTGATAAGACAGAGTA